CGTCGCGTCAGTCCGGGATGCCCGCAGAGACAGGGCGGGGCAGCCTCCGGGCCGGACGGCCTCCAGCTCCCCCGGGCTCCCTGACCCGGGCATCTCCTGCAGGTGCAGGTGAACGGGCAGGCGGTGGCGCTGCCCTACAAGAAGTATGGGCTGCAGGTGTACCAGTCGGGCATCAACTACATGGTGGACATCCCCGAGCTGGGCGCCCTCGTCTCCTACAACGGGCTGTCCTTCTCCGTCCGGCTGCCCTATCGCTTGTTTGGCAACAACACCAAGGGCCAGTGCGGTGGGTCCCAGGAGGGCCGAGGCCGGCTGGGCGTGCCGGGGGCCCAGCTAGGAGCTTCCCACCCACTGCTGGGGCCGCGTGGCCACGTCCCAGACTTGCCTGTCCATGGGCGGCCTGGCTTGGCCTCTACCCTTGGCCTGGGCAGCGGGTCCCGGGGGGCCTGGGTGGGAGGAAGGAGGGCCTTGCCCGTCGGCGGGTGGCCCGGTGCTCGTGTGACGCGGCCTCTCACTGACGCAGGCACCTGTACCAACAACACTGCGGATGACTGCGTCCTGCCCAGTGAGGAGGTCATCTCTGACTGCGAGATTGCGGCTGACGACTGGGTGGTGAATGACCCATCCAAGCCACACTGTCCTCAAGGCAGCTCTACGACCAAGCGCCCGACCATCACGACCCCAGGGGCTGGCAGACCCACCCCACCTAAAAACTGCACAGCGTCTCGTCTCTGCCAGCTCATCAAAGACAGGTGACCGCTCTAGGCAGCTGTGGACACTAGGGGCTCAGGGCCTCTGGAAGCTGCCTGGCCTCTGTGTCTGCCACGTTAACAGGGAGGAGATCAGGCTCCACAGACAGGCGCTAAGCCACTGAGGGCCTAGGCAAGCCCCCTCCACCGCGTGCCTTTCTAGACCTCTCAGACCTCTCCAGCCTCCTGATGGGGCAGCTTGGCTGAGCCCGAAGCTGGGGTAGAACAGTTGCCTGGGACAGAGCTCGCACTCGGGGTGGGCACGGCAGAGAGGGGGCTTCCAAAGCTGCAGCTGTGGGGAGCCTGCTCCCGTCCCTGGGGTCCAGGTGAGTGGCTTCAGCCGGGGCGGCCGAGGGACATCCTGGACCTGATGACCGGCTTCTGTCTCCATGGACCGCAGTGCTCTCTTATTCCCCACTGGCCGCCGTTCCTGTGCACGGCTGTCAGCGCAGGACCTCTCTGGCGGGTGCAGGCCGGGCCAGGCTCCAGGAGGGTAGCCTGGTGGAGGCGCCGGGTAGTGGGGCGTGGGAGGCAGGTGCCATGTGACTCAGCCCGTGGGCACCGGCCGGAGCGTGACCCAGCCTCTCCCCACAGCCTGTTCGCCCAGTGTCACGCCCTCGTGCCCCCACAGCACTACTACGACGCCTGCGTGTTTGACAGCTGCTTCGTGCCCGGTGAGGGCCTGGAGTGCGCCAGTCTGCAGACCTACGCAGCCCTCTGTTCCCACCAGGGCGTCTGCATCGACTGGAGGAACCACACACGCGGGGCCTGCTGTAAGTGCCGCCTGCCTGCCCTCCATGTGGGGCCTGCCAACCAGACATGGGGCTCTAGCCTCTGCCAGGGGCTTTGCCCAACCTGAAGCTGGGGGTGGGTGGGCCACGGCCAGGCAGGCAGGGGCAGTGGGCGTGAGACCCTGGGTGGGGAAGGAGGACAGGTCAGAGGAGCTGGGGTACCGGGAGTCCCACCAGCCTTGCCATCACGGCCAGGCACCCACCACCCAGCTAGGAACACACACAGGGCTGAGGCTGACTGTACCGGGCAGTGGTCCCTCCACCAGTGTGTGGGGTCTTGCACGGGGACGGCAGCGCTCTTACTTGGAGGCCTGAACTTTCCTCCTGACTTGGCCCTCTGACCTGTCCCACAGCGGTGCAGTGCCCAGCTCACAAGGAGTACCAAGCCTGTGGCCCCGCAGAAGAGCCCACTTGCAAGTCCAGGTCTGTCACCTGAGGGCCACCGGGACCATGGGCTTACCCCCTGGCAGGACAATATTTTCTGGGTGTGGGAGTCCCGCGTGCCCGCTCCCCAGTCCTGCAGCTCCCAGCCCTGCCCAAACGCCTGACGACGCCCTCCCGCCCCCAGCTCTTCCCAGCAGAACTCCACAGGCCTGGTGGAAGGCTGCTTCTGTCCCAAGGGCACCATAAACTATGCCCCCGGCTTTGACGTCTGCGTGGAGATGTGCGGTATGCCACCTGCTCACTTCCTGCCTCCTCCCGGGTGTCCGAGGCTGGGGCCACGGGGCTGACCCAGTCCCTGCACCACAAGGATTCTGCTAATGGGACGTGTTTTCTCCCTCTCCCTAGGCTGTGTGGGGCCAGACAACGTGCCCAGAAAGGTAGGCCCTTCTCCTTGGTGCTGGGGGAATTTCCCCATAAACTCTGAGTGGGGGGTGAGGGGTGAACACGAAGCCTGGGAGCCTCCAAGACTGAATAATGAGTCATGTGGGTCCCAGAGGGCTGAGGCGGAAGGACGTTCACCTCCCCGTCCGCCCATGCGCCCATGTGCCCACCCATCCACCTCCCCATCCGCCGTCCGTGCATCCGCCCACCCACCTGTCTATCTGTACCTCCACCCATCTGTTCATCTACCCATCCATCCGTCCATCCATCCATCCGCCACCCACCCACCCGTCTATCTGTACAGCCATCCATCCATCCATCCTGTCCACCTATCTCCACCCGTTCATTAAGTCTCTGTCCATCTATCCATCCATTTAGCCTCCACTCATCCACCCACCCACCCGTCCATCCGTCCATCTGTCCATCTACCCATCCAGCCATCCATTCTCTATCGTTCTCTATCCATCTGTCCCTCCATCTTCCGTCCTCC